AAAAAAAAAAAAAAAAAAAGAATAGTGGTCTGAAACCTACTTAAAGGATTTTAGGATTTAACGAATAACAAGAAGTGTGAAATTTCAGACCATAGCAGTGTTGAAAACAAAAGAATGACAGATACAAGAGCACATATTTTCACATTAAAACCACTAAAAACTACATAACCAAAATCCAAACCTAAACATCAATACAAAAAAAAAAAAAAAATCAAGGAGCAGATCGGAGTCCAGATGAAGATCTATCAATTAAATACCTATTTTAAGGAAATATCTAGAACATAACAGAAAGCATGGTATTTACCTATAAGATTTCTTTGTTTTCTTATATACTTCTTTGGAATTAGAAGATAATTTATCATTTAACAATGGGAATATGATTTAAATGACTTTTTCTTTAAAATATTACAGAATTTGAAAACAATGTCCACATATGTTTATTTTATAGATGTATTGCAAAACTAAGATGTATAGTATAGAATATTTTTCTATACTATAGTATAGTAAAGAAAAGGTATACACTATAGTATAGTAAAGATATACTATAGTATAGTAAAGAAAAGGTATACTATACAATACCTTTTCTTTTTTTAGTACATGATTTCTCTAATTTCCCCACAATCAAATTGATAAGGACTTCGGCAGCATCTACACTGAATTCTAATCTTGCAGAAAATTTATTTCTAAATCAAAGCAGACAATTTTAAATATGATTAATTCATGGCTTCTTCTTCCTCTTTGCTCCTGGTAGGCACAGTCAGGCCCATCTGCCTGCCCTTCTTTGATGAGGAGCTTGCTCCAGCCACCCCACTCTGGGTTGTTGGATGGGGCTCTACAGAACCAAATGGAGGTAAGTCCTGCACCAGGTCTCTTTTCTCTGTGACTGTTCCTGAGATGCTAAACTTTACTAAGAAAAAAAAATCTTGTAGGTCAGGAGGTGTCCTTGTATGAGGCAGAATTTCCCACAGACAATGGGAAGAAGAATCAACTTTCAGAAAACCCATTCTGGAAGACCAAGCCCCAAGGCTCTTGACATAAAGCAAAGAACTTTGGTGACCCAGAAAATTAACCTGGGCTAGAAATAGAACATATGAATGAGGGGCCAGGGAAATGGCTCAGTAGAATAAGTGCTTCCCTGGCAAGTGCAAGGGCCTGAGTTCAATTTCTGGTTCCGCAAAAAAAAAAAAAAAAAAAAAAAAAAAAAATTCTAGAACATATGAATGAGAATGTGTGTTTTCATCCTCCCAGGGGAGATGTCTGACACCCTGCTGCAGGCTTCCGTCCAGGTCATTGACAGCACCCGGTGCAATGCGGAGGATGCGTACCAGGGAGAAGTCACTGAGACAATGCTGTGTGCAGGCATCCCAGGTGGTGGTGTGGACACCTGCCAGGTGGGGTCTCCAAGGTTTGTGGGGAGTTTTCTGGATGGGGGTGTAGGTCCTAGAAAGACGTGAAAACCCAGATGCTAAATGCTTCACATGACCCTTTGCATGTGGTAGACACTCAGTGAGTGATGAAAGGAGAGAGGGGACAAGCCAGGAAGAAAGGAGTATAGTCAGATAAAGATACAAGAATGGATGAATGAGCAGATAGCAGGATAAGTGGATCCAAGCAAACAGAACGATTGCCAATATCTTGTTCACATACAAAGATGGCATTATTCACCCTCCCCTTCCACCCTGACTTTTCATCATCTATAGTATTATGCACCCCTTGAGGACAGGGACACAAAGTCTCTTTTCTCTGTGACTGTCCTAAAATACTAAACCTTACTAGAAAAAATAGCATCTTGTGCTGGATAAGCCCTGGTGCATGTCCCTTCCCCAGTCTTCCTGGCCATCAGGCGTGCTTAGCGATCCCAACACCCATACTTCCCCGAGGATCTTCAGAGCCATTTCCATTAAAATTCCTAACTCTATTCCTACTCCCACCTCAGTCATCAAATCCTTCATTAAAGAGACATTGCTTATCCATCTCTTGTGTGGTATGAGCATCATCGGGCCTTAGAGGACAGCGTCCACCCTCGGGGAGCTCATAGCGGTGGCGGTGGATGTGCACACATGGCAGCCAGGCTATGGTTTTGATGGGCTTAGAGGATGGAAGTTCACACTAAGATGACTCATCTGAGTACATTTTTCACTCTCTGACATTTGCTTTGCATTTGTTATTTGCCTGTTTCCTGGCACTCTCATCCATTTGATTCTAAGCCTCTTGAGAGAAGAGATCTTTGGGGTAATTTTCTTCATTAATTAAACCCAAATTACCCACAATAGTACCTGATACCAAACAGGCACTCTGCAAGTGGTGTTAGATCAACTTAGAAACAACCCAGTGAAGCAAACATAACCAGCCTTGCTTAAAACGAAGGACCCCTTAGAGCTTTCATTTTGCTAGTGTGGGTCAAGGCTCTCTGAGCAATGAAGGCAGCCTGCCCATGACTTACTTGGCCAGGGGCAGAGCTTTTTGCCCCTGGAGGGAACAGTATTTTAAAGGCAGAAACAGTGGTACAGTGAGCACGGGGGTGTGGGAGGGGAACAGAGGGGTTAGTCTGGGGAGAGGAGGAAGGAGGCCACCTGACCCCCACCCTGCCCTCCCAGCAGTTCCTATTCTGACCTCTCACAGGGTGACAGCGGTGGGCCCCTGATGTACCACTCTGGGAAGTGGCAGGTGGTAGGCATCGTGAGCTGGGGCCATGGCTGTGGAGGCCCAAGTACCCCTGGAGTATACACCAAGGTTGCATCCTATCTCAACTGGATCTACAGTGTGCGGAAGGTGAGTCCATGCCCCACCATGGTACCATCCCTCTCTTCCTCCCCCCACCTCCCAGTCATCCATAGATTTGACTTCAGTGGCTCTGACAACACTTAACATCTCAAGCTTCCCTCCCTGCAAACTGTCAGCCTGAGAGTCCTCCATTAAGACTAAATCCTTAGATCCGAGATTCCTGTTCAATGCATGTACCTCAAGGTATGGAACACAACGAGCTTTACTATTCTTTATTTTCTAACAGCAAGAGACTATCAGATCCCTTCCAGAAAGATTCTGATAAGGAAGAGGGTAGGTGAGCTCATGAGACTTCCTAGAGAGTAGGGAGAGAGGGGACAAAGAACTTCAGCAAGGGAAGGTAATTTTGCACTTACCACCACTTTGTCCAGTTTTAAATCATCTGACTTTCTCTTCATTGTTCTCTTTCATTCTAGTCTGAGATGTGACACTGCTGTCCCTCTGCAGTGCTGAGCTGCTTCCTCCTCACCTCACCATGTGGAGATCCCCCAGAACTCAGACTCAGAGAAAGGGCCCCTGTGGGCAGAGCCATCTGCCTGCAGCCTCAGGATTCTTTGGATCAACGAAGGGCCTCCTTTCCTGAGGAAGACTCCACACCCCAGAGGTACCCAGAAGGGAGCCAGCTACCTTAGCTCAGCCACCCCCAGAGTGACACAGTGCACTGCACAGCACCAGTCAGTGGACCAGGCCTCAGAGGCATTGCAGAACTGAGAAGGAACCTGTCTCTACCACATGGAAGTGGCTCTTTCGTGAGAATCCAGAGAACTGAGGGATGACCGGAGGAGAAAAGTGTCTGCCCAGCGCTCTCCTCCACCCATCCCCAAGCCCACTGGAGCAAGGAACCAGATGCAATGTAAACTGTACTGTCCTACTGTGCACATGACACTGCTACCTATCACTGTTACTGTCGATACTTGTATGGCTGCTATCATTAAAGAGGTGTGTGAAGTCAGTGGCATCGGCTGAAATCTTTGGGGGCCAATTTGATAAGTACTAACTCTTTATACTTTGGCCTAGAGAAGAAGGGTCCTGAGGAAGCATTTCTCCAAGTAGAAGGAGAGGAAAAATGAGACAAAGACTAGCTCTGCTGAGTGAAGGCAACAGTGTGTTGCCAACGGGGGAAACCAGAGGGGCCAAGTCTCCTTCCCACCCAGGCCTTCTCTCCCTGTTGCAATCTGCTGAGGTTCTTTTGCTCAGTTTGAATGTTAACTACAAATTAGCAAACGCAGTTCAGTTGGCAGCTTCTGGCTCTAAGTGCCGATGGCCCTTGACTTTTAGTGTTACAGCTCTGCTGCCCTCGGCCACCCTTGCTGGCTCTCAGCAGCCCCAGCTGACCCTTGGCAGCTATTGGGTGCTCTCCCAGCAGCTGCTGCTGAGCCTCTGGTGCTCCCCGCTGATCCCCACTGACCTCTGCCAAACACTGGCAGTGGCTGCCAGTTACCACCACCAGTTAGCCAGTTACCAGCGGTCATCTGCGACCTTACACTGCCACCAAGCAGCACCAGTTCATGCCAGTTATTGCTGATCTTAACCATTGATCTCCACTGATCTTTGTCTTTTGCTCCTGGTCTCTGCCACTGGTCTCCAGAACTCTTCAGAGTGTTTACAGCTCTTTTAAATATGATCTGCTCTGTCTACACTACACAGGATAGAAATCCTCAGATGTGCAGGGTCACCAGCAAAAAGTGGCCCAAGGAGTTAGCACACTGGAGGGAGCCCTCCTTGACAAACTTGAAGGCTGTGAGGGGAGCACTGCTTGCACACAGTGACAGTAAGGATGGTTCTCAGTTCCAAAGAGTCATCTGGGATTGGTTTACATTCAGATCCACTCCAACCCTGAAGATTGGTTCAAACTTCAAGCCTACTAGGACAGTGTCATCTGAGGTGGAGTCACCAGGAGTGGCCACAGGACAAAGCCATCCAAGACTGGGCCATGCTTTAGACCCACTGTGGCCAAGGTACATAGGGCGACTAGGTGTGTCCGTGACAGTACAGCTATAGCTGTCAGTCAGGGGATCCTCTCTGCCTGTAGGGGAAAGGGAAGGGTCATATGTCTATATGTCTGTGGGGGGCGATAGAACGCCCAAAATGGCATTTCCGGTTTTGGAAGTGATGGCCCCCAGTCAAATGAATTGGAGTATGTTCCCTGTGTGAGGCTCAACCCAAAAGGGGGAATAAAAAAAAAAAAAAAAAAAAATCTAAAGTGATTACTAAAGCCAGTGGGGAAACTGGCTGTAGGCACCTTTGGCACTTACTGGTAGGAAAAGAAAGTAAAAAAAAAAAAAAAGGGTATGTTAAGAAAAAAGGAAGGAAGAGCAGTTTGAGTAGCAAGATGCCAGAATAAAGGAAGATCCAGATGATTAACAGATGAGATAATTATAAGTATAGTTAGAGAGATTTATAACAAACTGTCAGACTCCATAAATAAAGGGATCTAAGAGCTAGTAAGTTACGATTGCTAGGTGTCAAAAAGGCTTATAAATGTACCTGTTAGCTCAAATGTTCATGCTTTGATTATATATGTTCTAATTGCTCAAAAAATTTGTTCTGTCCTAGAAGATACTAAAGCCCAGGTAATCATACAGGAAAAATCTGTTAACAAATATGCTAGATTACGATTCCTTTTGCTGGGATCCACCAGATTTTGTCTGTAAAAACACATATTAAAGCCTAATATAACTGTCCACCTGATAGAGCCCAGGTGATCTGAGCCTTCTCTGGGTTTCCTGCCTCATCACGAGGAAAGTTATATTCATGTTTCTTGGGCAAGACAACCTGGAGGAACCAAGAAGTTGTACCTTATGCAGTGGACCCCAGATATCTGACACAAGCTACAGAAGTTAGAAGGTTTTGCAGGAATGAATTTGTCTGAGTTGAGGTGTTTCATAGTAAAAAGGATACAGAATGAAATTATAGATAAAAAATAAAAATGTTAATACTAATAGCCTACAGGAAGAAAGGTAAATGTCCACAGCTGCTAGAGAGAAAAAAAAAAAAGAGTGTTTATGATGGAGTCAGAGAAAGTTTCAGATTGAGGTGGTCATGTGTCTTCCCTCTCAATCTAAGGGAACCCATGTTAACTGCCGATATAAAAAAAAAAGCCTGTAAAACTTTCAATAGATGCTTATGTAGATTTGTCAGTAGTTACCCAGCCAAAGGCCCACTTACAAACTAAAAAATACTCAGTGTTTTCCGTAGGCCCAGTAATTCATATACTCCAGTAATAATAAAAAAGTCCAACTTGTTTAAAACAATACACAAGGGTCATAAAAGATAAAAAAAAAAAGGATTAAACCTACATTTAAGATATCTACTAATAGATCTACAAAATGTTCTGACTAGTGTTTTTATAATTACAAACTTCAAAAGGTTATTGTATTCCAGATCTGCTAAATGATTACTTTATCCTGTTGATATTATTATTATTTGTTTCTTTGGTTCTGTCTTTCCCCCAGTCTCCCTCTATATACTGGTACTCCAGCAATCTATGACCTGTCCCAATTTATAAATACCACCCAGGCACTTGTTTCATATCACACGGTCTTGTCTAACGGTCATAAACAGATAAGTAATGTCAAACTTATGATTATTCGCCAACAATATGAGGCCCTAGCTACTAACAACTCAGATCTCTGAGATTAGAGATTTCCAACATCAAAAGGGGAAATATAAAGCCCAAATAATTTTAAGATCACATATAAAAATAAATAGATAAAATGTGTTTCAATTAAAAGGACCCACTCACTGGTTTACGGCCCTAGAGCTTGAACAATCCATGTTCCTAAAACAAAGAGGACGTAAGAAAACCTTGGATGGGGTCCTGTTACTTGGAAAACAACCAAAACAACTGAGTCAGCCAAGAAGTTGCCCTTGGCCCTCCCCTTATTTGAATTCTTGCAAGAGACATACATTCCCAAAACCTAAAGCCTCACTACTAGAAAGCCATAACAGCAGAATGCCCAGGCCTGCTTCCAAGGCCGCAAAAAGAGGACAGTCCAATTCATCCCCTTACTAGTGGGGCTGGAAATCACAGCAGCCATGGGGACAGGTTCATCAGGGTTTAGGGTAGCAGTACATTCTTATACTAAATTATCTAACCAGCTGATTGATGAGGTTCGAGCATTATCTGGTGCTATCCAAGATATCCAAGACCAGATAGATTCGCTAGCAGAAGTGGTCTTACAAAATAGGAGAGGCTTGGACCTTCTGACAGCAGAGCATGGGGAATATGTCTTGCTTTACAGGAAAGGTGTTGTTTTTATGTTAATAAATCAGGCATAGTTCGAGACAAAATCCGAGAGCTTCAGGATCAACTACTCAAGCAGAGACAACAACTTGTGGATGACTCCTTCTCCTTGTTGTGGGGAGGAATGTTCACCTATCTTGTGCCCCTGTTGGGACCCCTCTTCTCACTCCTACTCTTGCTCATGATAGGACCTTGCATTTTTCAAAAACTTACAGCATTCATCAACTCACGTTTAGATGCCTTTGCTGCAAAGCCCATTCAGATACATTATCATCAGCTGGAAATGACAGATCAACAAGAGTATCATGAGAGGGTTCCCTCAAATGGACCCTATCATAATGTGGCCTAATCTGATGTAGGTCCCCCTGGTGAGATGGACAAGTAGTCAATGACGGGCAACTAGGACCCACATGCAGTACCGCTGTCCGCCTAAGACAGGAACAGGGCCTACTGCTGCCCTGTAATCCCATGACGGGTAAGGTCTGGTCAATCTCATGTAAAGGAGTCCTTGACCCAAGCCAGGCATTGTCCCCGCAGGGCACTGTCAATTTCCGCTTGATGTATTTAATAAAAAGGGGGGATATGTGGGGGGCGATAGAACCCTCCTGTTATATTTTCCCTTATTTGGGCAAGAAGTGCTGCAGCACCAATCCCCACTTGCCTCGGCATCTTCCTGTGGTCCTGGATCTTCACTACCAATCCACAACTAGTCCCACCCAACTACTTCCACTATACAGTTATTTAGACCCTGCTCACTTCCTCAATAAACGAGACTTGATCAGAAAGCCTGTCTTGTCTCCGTCTCTCATGTCTCTTGCCCTGTCTTTTTCATCCCCGTTCCTCCTCCAGGTCATTACCCACGTCTCGACTCGTGGGCCGAGTCATATGTCTCTTGTCTTTTTTTTTTTTTTTTTTTTTTTTGTGGTACCAGGGATTGAACTCAGGACCCTGCACTTGCCAGGCAAGAGCTTATTCTACTGAACCATCTCCCCAGCCCTTTGTCTGTCTCACTTTTTCCATCCTTCTCTCCTTTCCTGACGAAAATGGGCCAGATCTAAGAGCAATAAACTAATATTTTAGGGTTTCACTAGAAGAAAAACCTCTCTGAAGACTGAAATCTGAACTGAAATGTCCTACAGATGGAGAATTGAAGCTGCTGCTCCTCAAGGGGCGGACACATCTAAGAAGCATAGGAGATTCCAAGTGGGGACCTTCTGGAGAGAAACAGCTCAAACTTTTAGAGCCTCAGGATTCCCAGACTCCTTAAATATGAGCTCAACAATGAAGTTCAGAGATGGTAATCATTAAAACGACCAATTTGACACCCCAAAGATCACAGTTGTCAGGATAATCCAATAACTAATTCACGTGGACTGTTTCTACATGCCAGAAACCATTCTAAGTGTAATGATTCATGTAACATTCATACAAACCTGTAAGATACTTTCTTATTCTGATGTTATACATTTTTTCTTTAAAAAAAAAAAAGCCTGGAGTGGTGGCACATGCTGTATCCCAGTACTTGGGATGCTGAAGCAGGAGAACTGACAGAAATTCAAAGCCAGCCTAGGCTTCATAGTGAGTTCAAGTCCAGCCTGAGCTAATAATAAGATGTTGTCTAAAAGAAAGAGAGAAAGAGGAAAGAAAGAAAGAAAGAAAGAAAGAAAGAAAGAAAGAAAGAAAGAAGAAAAAAGAAAGAAAGAGAA